ACTACATGATTAATCAGTGCTCAAAAACAAGTATCCATGTCAAAATATACTTGAGATCGTGATGACACTTGATAATACTGTCTGGCACCCATGGAGAGAAATGCAACCCATCACAGCTACACCAAATTTCCCTAGTGCAATAAAGCATTTCAAGCAGGGCCAGAATGATATCCAAATCCAGAGCCACTCATTCTCCATTTACATGCACTTCCAGAGGGCCCCTTGCAGTAGTATGAGCACACACAAACAATAATGGTAGGTAGTGCTCTCCATAGAAGTTAACTTATCAACCATATTGCTCTTAAAACAGCCAAATAACCCCTCCAGAAATTATAAAATACTTGCAGTCTCCAATAGAGGAAAGCTTGCAGCCCATATCAAATTCTATGTTTAAATATCCCGACCCTCTAATTTAAAGGTATCGATTAGAACAACCTCCCAATGGTAATTAGCAAAGTTACTAGAGGAGGAGCACCTGTATATTAACAGATGATAAAAAGCAGGGAGAGATTCCTAGTTTGACAGCTAAAGGTGCTTTTTTCTGTTTAACGACAGGGAAAAAAAAAAAAGTGTGTTTCCAGATGCTGGAAATATGCCTCTGAGCCAGTGATGATTGTATTTACCGTTTTCCCTGACCATGTGATTATTCTTATGAGGTAACACTACGTCCTAAGAGACTGCCATAAAGTATCCCCAAATCTCTTTTCCTAACCCCTGAGGCCACAGTCAGGATCAGGGCCCCTTTGTGCTAGGTGCTGTGCACCAGATAGTCCTTGTCCCAAAGACCTTAACATCTAAGACAACAAATAGCCAGCAGCAGGAGGACCAGGATACAATCTACAGCAAACTGGCCATGGGGATGGGAGGCGCTAAGCTTGTTAGGTAACTCCTTTCTACAAAACAGAGGGATTTATCAGCTACACACAGCAGTGCCTTTACCAAATCCTGGGTTGGTCAATTCCTTATCCATCTCCCAGGAGACGTGAGTATTGAGAACGATCTGAAGGAGGGGGCTATGGCCTTACTGCCCTATGGAAAGCCAGGCTGTTCCATGAACAAGGGAATATGCGAAGAAGCAGACAGTGGCCAGCCAAGTCTAGAATCACTGGTGGACTAGAAGATGCCAGGGGCAGGCAATGGGATAAGGGACAAGACTGAATAAGTAGGGAGGGGAAGAAACGTGAAGGGCCTTGAAGAGCCTAACAAGAAGCTCAACCTTTACATGGTGAAAACTAGAAACCATGGGGGGATTCAGAGGGAGAGGTGATGTGGTCAGATTTGGAGAGAGGAGGATCTTAGCAACTGCCTTTTGACTTGATGTATTAGGCATGGTATTTGCTAGTACATAGCTATAGAGGGAAACTCTCTTAGCAGAGAGACAGTTTATACCATTAAAAGATTGCTTTTGCCAGGACAGCTTTTATACAGGTTCCCTGAACAAAATAAGCTATACCAGCAAAAGCACTTTTTACAACTAGGACTTTGGCTAGTATAAAAATGTCATAAAAAAAAAATCACGCCTCATAGACATCCCTATCCATCAGAAGTCTGACATGTTGGCCTAGCTTTAGGTGGGCTGAGAGTTTTCAATGGGAGGATGAAAGATAAAGAGGCCCAGTCTGTCACTGCCTTATCCCTCGTATCAACACTTGCAGCGGGAGCACAATACAGGTTATGACTGGAGCAGAAAATTGGTCTTGCGGAAGGACACAGGACTTAGGAGACCTAGGTTCTATTCCAAGCAGAGTCCAAGGAGAGGGACTTATGGCAATGGTTTACCCAGTGTGTCTGATGAGTTGGGGATGAGGCGGTGGGGGGGCCAAGGGTTGGCCTTTGGGGATAGGAGAGAGAGATGAACAGAAACATATGTATTGTGATGGGAAGGAGAAGTTGGGGAGGAAAAACAAGCAGCCACTCATAAAAGGAAAGCATAATATCTACATTGGGATCTGAGTAGAATTTTGCCCTAGGTAATCACAAACAAATCCGCAGAAAACAACACTGCCTTATGAATCACCCCCCCCCACCCCCCCCCACCCCCACGGCACAACAGCAGTAATCTTAGAAATGGCAGGCAGAAATCATCCCAAGCCCCACAGAAAACACAAAGCAGACTAGACGATGCTGCAGGAAATATACAGTGACTCCAATCAAGTTAGCAAAAGTAGTTCCTGCTCTGGAGAAGCAAACTGGGTTCTGGGGACTTAGCACAATTATTTTGTGCGGCTTCTTGCACTGCAATCATCTGCAGGGAATTTTCTCTCAATTTGAGACTGGAAAGAGCATTCTTGGGTATTAACAACATGCTTACTACAAAACCCACCACTGCACAAAGTGTCATTATTCCGGGGTTTAAAGGAGGGGAATATCATGACACTGATATTGGGCACAGAGCAGCTCACTGAGCAAATCACTTCAGCTCTCTATGCCTGTTTCCTCCCTCACCCTCCATCTGCCTGTGTCTTTCGACTGGAAGCTATGTAGCTAAGATTTTCTTGCTATGTGTATGTAATGTGCCGGGCAAAGTAGAGCCTTGATTTCAGCTAAGGCCTCTAGGCACTACTGTAATACAAATAAATAAGAAAATGGAGCAAGTTTCCCCCATTGATGGCTGGAAGCATGTATTCCTGGACGTTGATAAACTATTTACTGTGACAGATCTAAAGTGTTACCCAAATGCTTTATACAAGAATCTTGGAGATCCCAGGGTGAGAGGTTAAGCTGGACTTTGATTCTTTTTATTTGGTTTTCCTCAACAATCCCTAAATAGCATGGCTTCAACCTCATGCTTTTTTTCCTGGACTTTCCACAGGATCTTTAGATCTTAATTTTCCAAAAATGTAAACTGCACGGAAGGGCGGGGCGGATAGCTCAGTGGTTTGAGCATTGGCCTGCTAAACCCAGGGTTGTGAGTTCAATCCTTGAGGGGGCCATTTAGGGAACTGGGGTAAAAATCTGTCTGGGGATTGGTCCTGCTTTGAGCAGGGGGTTAGACTAGATGACCTCCTGAGGTCCCTTCCAACTCTGATATTCTATGATCCTTGTAGATTTTAAGGCTGAGTATATCATAAGAATTCCTTAGGTGGTTCTTGCTTTTTTATTTATTTATTTATTTAATATACACATGGTGTGCCTCCCACGTCAATTGCTGTATTGATCCTTAAACATTAGCAAAAAATTAAAGCAAAAGACATTGAAAAGACTGAACCAGGGGTGTGCGGAGGGGGAGGGGGAAGAGGAGAGGTTGGATCTGCAGCATAAGCCCCACCATACCAAATGCTGAAACTTTTAATACTTTTTAGCCCAGTTCTCCCTTAAGCTACGTACACACAACTGCCATTGACAACAGTGGAAGATGCACATGTGAGATATGAATGATGGTGTGGCGAGTTTGGGATGGGTGCAGTATGCATGAGTGGCAGAGCCATGAATAAAATTATGTAGTTCATTCTGAGCACCGCTGAAACCTCCAGTGCCCCCACTATCCCATATATGCTGTATGTGACAGAGAAACTGTTTTCAGACTGGTTGAGAGCGTTCATTAAATGTTAGTGGGACCATTTTTTGGTATCTCCCATCCGGAAAGCAAGGTGCTTGTTACCATGAAACCAAATGCAAAGAGCTCAGAGGCAAAAAAATATAAATAATACATTTTAAACTGCTAAAATACCTCAAATAGCATTTCTACGCATAAAAATGTCATGAGCGTGTAATCAGGTCTCCCAGGGCCCTCTAGGGCTAGGAATGAGTGCTGGACCACGACAAATCAACAGGACTGCCCTTGCTAAATGGGAAATGCTACTGTTTGTAACCATGGGCAGTGACATGATCAACTTTAAAACTGTGATGTATTTATGTAGACAAAGACAATCACTGATCCAGGAGAGAATCAGGACTATCCTTGGTCTGAGCCCAGTGGTTTTTTTGGGGTGGGGATTCTGTATGAGGAAGGAGAGAAGGGGAGTAGAAAGATGCATTAGTGTGGCAGGTAGATTTAAAAACAGCAGCTGTTTGGGATGTTCTAACAAGCCCTGGGGAAATGCAATGCAATGGTTGGCAGAGGGCAGGTGAGAGTTGAAGGGACATGATCCATTTATATTACATGGCGCAGTGATTTATCACACTGATATTACCCTGTAACCAGGTGGTCACTCCCTTCAATGGCCTGAGAACAGCCACCCCTGTTCTGGAGAGGTGGCCAGCAGGGAGGCGCTAGGAATCAGCTAACCCAGCTGGGCAGCAGCCAGTGACTGGGTCTGAGTCCCAGCTGGAAAATATAAATGGGGGCCCAGCTCCATGAGGGAGCCTGGGGCAGGAGAGGCCTGAAAGTACACTCTCTGTGGCCTTCTGCAAATCCCCTTCGGCTGGAGGAGGACTCTAGCTACCAGAGGGCTTTACAATCGAAGGCCTTGTCTACACTACAGAGTTTTGTCGATAAAAAAGTTATGCAGATTTAAAGTGCTTTAATTAAACCGCTGTTGCATGTCCACAGTAGCTCCTTGTATCGGCAGAGTGCATCCACACTAGCAGCTCTTGCATCGACACAGAGCAGTGCTCTGTGGGTAGTTATCCCATTGTGCAACTGGCTGCAGGGTGCTTTGGGAAGGGTTTGCTGTGTCTCATGGGGCAGGTACAGTGTCACTTGATGCAAGTTTCTCAATCCCATCCTACTAGATTCCATGGGCATCCTACTAGATTGCCAGCTACTTTTCAACAGAAGTGTGGGGGAGGAAGCGGGGAGTGTGTGTGACAGGGAGACTGTGTGTGTGTGGTGCATGGGGTGGGGGGGGGAGTGTATAGGTGAGAGAGACAGTATGTGTTGGGGCGTGTGTTGGGGGAGAGTGTCTCGACATGCTGTCTATTTAAGTTCAGACAGCCGCCTTAGCAACCAATCCTGAGATGGGGGAGAGGGGGACATCCACATCAGCCCCCCAGTTCTGCACAGCAGTCTCCCTCCCCTCCCCCCCCCCCCCCACGCAGCAGCAGCCCACTCTGCCTACCTGCCGCTGTGTGCCCAGGAGAGAAGGATTCCACATTAATGGTTCTCTGCTTCCCTCAGAGTTCTCCCACAGCCTCGTCATTTCACATAATGTTCGATCAGTGCAAGTTCCGCTTGCTGTGCAACCTCTATTGCCATTCAAGTCCTGAATTCAGCCCCCAAACACAACCACAGCACACAAAAAGAGGCAAAGAGTGCATCGATATAGCTGAAATGTAAAAAGTTCTTTCCTCTTGTCCTCAGTTTTGCTAAAGCAGCAAAACATGGGGCACACTGCATCTTATGGCCACTGGCACGCCTATACTTGAAGCTGTGAGTAGGAGCTCTGTAACCCACCTGAAACTTTACAACCTTTATTTCAGTGTGGTGAGCACCATTTGCCATATGTTTCTATTGCCCTTGTGGAATCCCGAAGGAGCCTGGTGATGGCCAATGTCACAGCTCTAAATTCTGCTGGCTGACCAATGCCCCAGGGATAAAGTGCCTGCCTTGACAGGAGTTCAAATCCTGTTCAAGTGTTTAATAATGGAGGTTGGACTGAAACATCACATTGCTTCGCTCAGCCAGATCTTGCTTTTGCTCAGTGACCTAAAACAGAGTACATTAGTTCTGTGCTAATGGCCTCACCATACATTTCACAAAGATGCATGTGGAGGTTTGTTGCTAATCCGGAGGAGTCTGGTCACTGCAAACTGAAAGCCAGGGGAGAAACAGAGATTTTCTCTCTCACTTAATAAAAAGAGAGAGAAAATTATATGTCCCCAAGGAATCCAGTGGCAGAGGCTTCCCAATGGGGGGTAATGTGAGGGCAACAACATTCTGAGGAAGTGTCAGAAGCAGCCTAAAAGTGGGACATTCAGGTACCAGACTAGAAATGCCAACTTCACCAAGCAACCACGTGAAACAAAGTTCACACCTGTTCTAAACCTGTATCTGATGTGCCAGACTCAGCAATGCTCATCTAAAACTTGTCTCTTTTAGAAGAAGGGGACATGGGAGGGACACCCCAAAGCTGACAGGATATTTAGATAGTAAAGAGGACAGCGCTGAAGTTGAGCTATCACAATAGGGGACTGAACGATAAACAGTCAATTACCAGGATCCAGGAACAGACCCTCTACGCATTCCCATCTCCAGCTCAGATCAGAAATGGGCAAAGATGGCCAATCCAGTGGCTAAAAGTACAAACCACACTAAGGAAGCTGCAGTAGGAGACAGTTTAAAGGACCACATCTGTTAGGTCACTGCCACCCGCTCCCTGGTATGGAGAGGCAGGCAGAGCAACAATGGAACCCATCTTTAGGCAGGTGGATCTGATAAAGCCAAAGTTCGGGTCGCAACCCAGTAATGGGTAGCAGCATGTCATGCTGGATCGCTCTGGTCAGCACCGCTGACCAGGATGTTAAAAGTCCCGTCAGCGATGCTGCCCAGCTAAGGGAGGCTAGTGGCTACCTTCTCCAACACCGCGCTACGCCCCGGAAGCGGCCAGAAACAGGTCCGGCTTCTAGGCGGGGGGCCACAGGGCTCCGCATGCTGCTCCCCCCCCCCCCGGTGTGTGTGTGTGTGTGTGTGCCTGTGGGTGAGGTGTGTGCCTCCGCCTAGGAGCTGGACCTGGTGCTGGGCCGCTTCCGGGGCGCAGCGCGGTCAACAGTGCCAGGACAGGTGGGAAGCCTGTCTCTGCACCCCAGCTGTGCTGCTGACCGGGAGCCGCCGGAGGCAAGTCCGCACCCCAATGCCATGCCCCAATCCCCTGCCCCAGCCCTGAGCTCCCCCAAACCTGGAACCCCTTCCTGCAGCCCAAACCCCTCATCCCCGGCCCCACCCCAGAGCCTGCACCCCCAGCCTAGACCGCTGACCCTCTCCCACATCCCAACCCCCTGCCCCAGCCCAGAGCCTCCTCCCATACCCTGAACCACTCATTCCTCGCCCCACCCCGCAGCCCTCACCCCTGCACCTCAACCCTCTGCCCCAGACCTGAGCCCCTCCAACACTCCAAACCCCTCATCCCCAGCTCCACTGGGTCGCGGGCATCAACAATTTTCTTCAACTGGGTCCCCAGAAAAAAAGTTTGAAAACCACTGATCTAGGAGACAGAGGAGTATGGGACGAGAAGGCACCAGCTGCTGGTCAATCAATATAGCAGCACTGAGGTGATCCAATACAAAGCCTCCACTAAGACCAAGATGAGGATGGTATGCGAAGGGAAGATAGGTTAAATCTTTCGCGTCAGAAGCCTCTGAAATGGTGCAACTGCGTGGCAATCAGATGTGCCAACCCAGCTCTGAGGGCAGGACACAGATGGATGGCAATGTAGCCTCACTCAGCCAGCCTGTTAGCTGAAGAGAAGAACCACTGCAGTAATGGACACCGCTGGAAGACAGAGAGAGAAGCCACAAAACCCCTAGTATGGAGAAGAATGTTCACACCCAGATAACGTGGGAGAGGAAGAGGTCTGCCCCTAGCCAGAGTGCCTCCAACCACAGCATCAAGGAAGAAGTGATCTGGGTTGGTCAATGGAAAGGCTTCCATGATATTTAGCATTAGACCCACACAAGTAAAATACATTACCAAGCAAAAATATTTGTTTCTCTCTCTCTTTAGCAAGTTTTAGAACTCATGGAAGTAAGGAACAAAGCACCAGCTAGAGCCAGACAACCTTTGGGAAAGGGCTGTGAAGGCTCCAACAGCTCTCTGAATGCCCCTCAATCTTGCTTTAGAGCACCCACTGTCATCTCAGTCCTGCCCCTCCTGTGCACTGCTCTGCTGTTCCCCTCAGTTCTGACCCTTCCCCTCTACTGGACTGCTAAGCTTCCTTCACAGCTAGAAGAATGCACCTTAGCTTTGTTTCTGTTGCAGAGAAAGGAGCATGCTGGTGTTTGGGAGGAGGAGGAGGAGGGAGTTCACATGTGGCCATTTGATTACAGTCCCCAGATATGACACAGTGGCAGAAAGGAGGCTACCCGTTTTCTGTGCATACAGAGCAGTCTGTTTAAGAGAACAGAAATGCCCCTCCTGCACATTCCAGGAGCTTCATTCTCTGCCTTCCCAACAAGCTCATTTGAACTTTAGGGGTTATAATTATTCTGTAGGGCTGATGAACCCTCCATAGTTCTCAAAGGTGAATCCAGTTTTATTCTTTTCAGGGAGAAAGGTACCCAACACCTCAGGGGAACTGCTCAGCATGTACACTCCATGAAGGAGTAAAATCTCTTCCAAATATATGTCTCCTCCCTACCACAATGCCTCCAAGTAAAAGGCTGCATGTCAAAGACTACACAGGTCCCACTTCTGCAAGGGTTTGCCCTAGAGTAATAATATTCACCCACCCTCCCCCAGGGAGCCAGGGTGATAGTAAAAGGTCTCTGAGGACAGCATGATTTCACGAGCCTGAAAGATTCCAATAAGACACGCAGTTGCGTGATCTGCTTCTTTTTCAGCTTTTCCTTTGAGCTGCTGGGAGACGCTGAAGCAGAGCCTGCTGTTCCTAAGTCCACAGCTTTACAGGACCAGCCCTGCCTCCTCCCTGTTTTGCCATGATGTTTTACACCGCAACCAGTGAGAGACTCCTCAGGCTAGTAATCAGCCTCCTTGCATCACTGAACAAGAAGAGCTGGTGCAGAGACATGTGTCTGGTAACAGAAGCAAGAGCATGTGTTCAGACAGGGAGATTCCCCCGTGGAGATGTTTCATCAGCATGCGCTCTAGAGCAGTGGTCTCCAAACTTTTTTGATCGCGCACTCCTATCAGTAAAAAATTTTACCGCAGGGCCGGCTTTACTATTTTTGCCACCCCAAGCAAAAAAAAAAAAAAAACCGCCTGAACTGCCGAAGTGGTGCTGCTCCGGTGGTGCTCCTCCTGCCATGCACCCTGAAGGATCCTCTTGTGCACCCCACTTTGGAGACCACTGCTCTAGAGAAAAGACTTACTCATTTCATGGTCTTTTTGGCTGGGGGGGAAAGAAGCCTAGTCTTTCACTCAAATCTCATCGGGGAGGACACCCCCAGCCACAGCAATGTTGCATTACACCAGAGCACCTACTACAGCAACACCAAAAATAAACATATCTCCACTCCTCACCAGCCTGCTCTGGGTAATTGCGCCTCGGCTGTGGAGCCTTCCAGAGGCCAAGCCTCACCACTACCTCAGTAAGGCTCAGTCAGTAGACGAGAACAGGATAATTATTGCCTTAGCATGCATGGCATAAAACCCCCAGCAGGAGGAGAATAAAAAACAGTCACAGGGTAAAACAAGGAGAGAAACTGTTCCAGTTACAGAGCAGCATCAGAACATAGCAGCCATACTGGATCAGACCAATGGTCCATCTAGCCCAGTGTCCTGTCTGCTGACAGCAGCTGATGCCTGGTGCCCCAGAGGGAATGAACAGAACAGGCAATTATTTAGTGATCCATCCTGTCATCCAAATCCCAGTTTCTGGTAATCAGAGGCTGAGGACACCCAGAGTATGGGGTTTTATCCCTGCCCATCCTGGCTAGCAGCCATTGATGGGTCTTTCCTCCAGGAACTTTATCTAGTTCTTTTTTGAACCGCATTTTAGTTTTGGCCTTCACAACATCCCCTGACAAGGAGTTCCACAAGTTGTCTGTGCGTTGTGTGAAGTAGTACTTCCTTTTGTTTGTTTTAAACCTGCTGTCTATTTATTTCATTAGGTAGGTTCTTGTGTTATGTGAAGGAGTAAATAACACTTCCTTATTTATGCTCTCCATATCAGTCAAGATTTTATAGACCTTTGTCATACCCCCCCTTAGTCGTCTCTTCTCCAAGCTGAAAAGTTCCAGTCTTATTAATCTCACCTCATTTGGAAGCTGTTCCATATCCTTAATAATTTTTGATGCCCTTCTCTGCACCTTTTCCAATTCTAAGGTATCTTTTTTGAGATGGGGTGACCAGAACTGCATGCAGTATTCAAGGTGTGGGCGTACCATGGATTTATATAAAACTGTTACCTACCTTCCATAACTGTTGTTCTTCTAAATGTGTTACTTGTGTCTATTCCATTCTAGGTGTGTGCGCGCCCACACACGTGCGGCTCGAGATTTTTGCCTTAGCGGTATCCATAGGGTCGGCAATGGCACCCTTTTGAGTGCCGCGCTCATGCATTGGTGTATCAGGCACCGCCAGCCCTAT